ATAAACTACATCCGCGTCCTGGGTAAGACGATAAACTACATCCGCGTTCTAGGTAAGACGATAAACTACTTTCAACAGCAAGATCAGGAGGTTTTGAGAAGCATGGAAGCACCTCTTAATTGCTGGTGTTCCCAGGTACATCCTGACCCAGGGTGGTAGCACCTGTTAGGGTCCCAGCTATGGGTAAATAGTTAAAACCCAAACTTGTGTAAAAATAGGTTTTAAAACAAGAAATACTTTGTAATAAAAAAAAAATTATTACCAGCAATAATTTGTGAAGGAAAAATTATTATCAGCAATACTTGTTTTTAAAAATACCAGCAATACAAGCAGTTATACATTCTTTGAAAAAAATATGACCCGCTGTAGATTTCTTCAAAGAAAAATATTCACAGAAATAGATTTTTGAAAAAAAACATTACCAGCAATAAAAATTTTCTCGGCATTAAATAACCCATTAAGGTTGATATGCCGTAAAACAAAAAAAGTGTTAGGAATATAGAGTTGAAGTAGATTTTAGAAGCACCTGGAAACCCATTCCAAAACATGAAGCGATGGATAAACCTTTTTTCTTACTCAAAAGACCAGAAAAGAACGTGAACCCGACAATAGGCGAACCAGCGACTCCTATTACAATAGGCACTTGGTTAGGTTTGATTAATGGCATATCAACATCTTGTTGGTCATTTAGAGTTACCGATATAAGATTACACAAGGATACTCCCGTATTTCAAGAGTCCATAAATATTTATTTCCAAATCATCCCAACATTATTAATTATTTATATTAAATGTCCTGTTACTATATTTAGCAGGACGAGAATACTTAAATAGAAACAATTAATATTTACTTATCACCTGAATAAAGAAAATTCTTATAGATTCGTGTAAAAACGACGAATATTCAACTATGCCTGAACGAAATAAATGCTTAGAGAACCAGATAAACACAACGGATATTTACGTGTTCCCGATCCAAAGTAAATTTTATAGACTTGAATATAATCGATCAGTATTTACGAATCACTCAAGAAAGTAAATGCTCATAGGCTCAAAAGCAAATCATTATATACCCATCCCCAAATCAAGAGAATGCTTATAGATCCAAATATATAAAATCAATATTTACCTATCCCCAAATCAAGTAAATATTTAGAAACTTACCATTATTACCATTACCTAAATCAGGAATATATAGACTCAAGTATGAAATAACGATATTTAAGAATCTTTAATAAACGAATATAGACTCAAGTATAAACGGGAAATATTTGAGGATTTTTAATTAACCAATATAGACTCAAGTATAAACAGGCACTATTTAAGGATCTTTAATTAACCAATATAGACTCAAGTATAAACAGGCACTGTTTAAAGATCTTTAATTAACAAATAGAGACTCAAGTATAAACGGGCATTATTTGAGGATCTTTAATTAACCAATATATACTCAAGTATAAACGGGCATTATTTGAGGATCTTTATTTAACCAATATAGACTGAAGTATAAACAGGCAATATTTAAGTATCTTTAATTAACCAATATAGACTCAAGTATAAACGGGCCATATTTGAGGATTTTTATTTAACCAATATAGACGCAAGTATAAACTGGCAATATTTATGGATCTTTATTTAACCAAAATAGACTCAAGTATAAACGGGCGATATTTATGGATCTTTAATTATCCAATATAGACTCAAGTATAAACGGGCCTATATTTAAGAATCTTTAATTAACCAATATAGTCTCAAGAATAAACGGGCAATATTTAAGTATCTTCAGTTAACCAATATAGACTCAAGTATAAACGGGCAATATTTATGGATCTTTATTTAACCAATACAGACTCAAGTATAAACGGGCACTATTTAAGGATCTTTAATTAACCAAAATAGACTCATCTATAAACAGGCACTATTTAATGATCTTTAATTAACCAATATATACTCAAGTATAAACGGGCATTATTTGAGAATCTTTATTCAACCAATATAGACTGAAGTATAAACAGGCAATATTTAAGTATCTTTATTTAACCAATATAGACTCAAGTATTAACGGGCAATATTTGAGGATCATTAATTAACCAATATAGACTCAATTATTAACGGGCAATATTTGAGGATCATTAATTAACCAATATAGACTCAAGTATAAACGGGCCCATATTTAAGGATCTTTAATTAACAAATATAGACTCAAGTAAAAACGGGCAATAATTATGGATATTTAATTAACCAATACAGACTCAAGTATAAACGGGCAATATTTGAGTATCTTTGATTAACCAATATAGACTCAAGTATAAACGGGCAACATTTGAGGATCTTTATTTAACCAATATAGACTCATGTATAAACGGGCAATATTTGAAGACCTTTATTTGACCAGTATAGACTCAAGTATAAATGGGCCCATATTTAGGATCTTTATTTAAGCAATATATACTCAAGTATAAACGGGCAATATTTAAGTATCTTTAATTAACCAATATAGACAAGTATAAACGGGCAATATTTAAGGATCTTTATTTAACCAAAAGAGACTCAAGTTTTAAACGGTCAATATTTGAAGATCTTTTATTAACCAATATAGACTCAAGTATAAACTGGCAATATTTGAGGATCTTTATTTATCCAATATAGACTCAAGTATAAGGGCAATATTTGAGGATCTTTAATTAACCAATATAGACTCAAGTATAAGGGCAATATTTAAGGATCTTTAATTAGCAAATATAGACTTTAATATAAACGGGCAATATTTGAGGATCTTTAGCCAATATAGACTAAAAGTATAAACGGGCCCATATTTAAGGATCTTTAATTAGCCAATATAGACATTAATATAAACGGGAAATATTTGAGGATCTTTATTTAACCAATATAGACTCAATTATAAGGGCAATATTTAAGGATCTTTAATTAACCAATATAGACTCAAGTATAAACGGGCAATATTTAAGGATCTTTAATTAGCAAATATAGACTTTAATATAAACGGGCAATATTTGAGGATCTTTAGCCAATATAGACTAAAGTATAAACGGGCCCATATTTAAGGATCTTTAATTAGCCAATATAGACATTAATATAAACGGGAAATATTTGAGGATCTTTATTTAACCAATATAGACTCAATTATAAGGGCAATATTTAAGGATCTTTAATTAACCAATATAGACTCAAGTATAAACGGGCAATATTTAAGGATCTTTAATTAGCAAATATAGACTTTAATATAAAAGGGCAATATTTGAGGATCTTTAGCCAATATAGACTAAAGTATAAACGGGCCCATATTTAAGGATCTTTAATTAGCCAATATAGACATTAATATAAACGGGAAATATTTGAGGATCTTTATTTAACCAATATAGACTCAAGTATAAGGGCAATATTTAAGGATCTTTTATTATCCAATATAGACTCAAGTATAAACGGGCAATATTTAAGGATCTTTAATTAGCAAATATAGACTTTAATATAAACGGTCAATATTTGAGCATCTTTAGCCAATATAGACTCAAGTATAAACGGGTAATATTTAAGGATCTTTAATCAGCCAATATAGACTTTAATATAAATGGGCAATATTTCAGGATCTTTAATTTACCAATATAGGCTCAAGTATAAACGGGCAATATTTAACTAACCTCGAAACAATGTATAAAAGCAAGAATAAACGATCCTGTTTGCCTCTTTCCCAACCAAATAATTGCCTTTTTCCCCACGTTTCTCTCTTTTTTAGATTCTTTTATTTCTCTGTTGACTTTTTTTCTTAACAAAACTTCTACTTCAGCTTCC